GTCGTCGCGTGGCGGTGACGTAATCGCACTTAAAATGCGTACTTCAAGCGTGCAGACCCTGAATTGGGACACAGCAATTGTCTTGATCGTCTGCACTTGCTTCTTGTTTTCCCCAGCCGTGCCCACTTCCTGTTATTGGCCTTCTGTGTATATATAGAGCTGTCTTCCTCTCAGTCCTTTGTCTCAGTGGCTGTTAATCTGTTCTCATGTGTTTGCTGGACTGAATCAGTCTTTTGTTTTGTGGCCTGCTTCAACAACCTTATGAAAGATGCATTCTGAGTTTAACTCTAACCTTTTTCCATGCCCTGCTTTTGGGTACAAATTCTGTAATTCATGAGTCTAATTTAAACACATTATGATTTATTTTGATCATCAGATATGAGTTAAATGTTTTAGAGTGTTAGTGTTAGTGAGACTGGCTCACCGGTCTAGAAATACAGCTAAGGTCCACTCATCTGACATTTGCAAAAGATTGAACTGGATATTTTAACAGATGTACTGCAATACCAACATCTTTCTCCAATCAAGTCATAGTTTTTATGGATACAATATTTTTCATTTAGCTTCAGCTAATCATACAATGAGAAAATAATTTCAAAGGATTCATCTGCCAAAGAATTGTACATCACTGAAAAATGGCATAACTCAGTGAATGATTTGCATCCAAATCACTGAAAAATATTAATATTATATGTGAGCACCAGAGGTCAGCACAACATCATCTTATTCCTGTCAGGGCTTCTGACGTCTACAGCCAAACCCACAGGATTTCATACTTTTAAGTAAAGTCTTAATAACCTTTAGATGTTTACATTGATTGATTGATTGCATGGATTTGAGTATTGATTACTGGGAAAGCATTAAGGACATGGATGGGCTGCTTTTATTACCCTTCAGTTTACCTACATAACCAAACAATCCATGGAAATAAACAACATACTTAAATAACTGCCCATGATAGTCTGTTGATCTGTTTGTTACTTTAGATATTTAGCACTACTGCCACTTATTACCTTTAGGTCATTCCTGGAGATTCCTCAAGATAACAAAAATCCAGAGTAAACTGGACAGAAAATGTTAATAAAGATATTATCTTTCTTTTAGAAACTTACACAATTATTGAATATCACAAACAAGAGCAAAGCTGAGTGATATGCCAGACCTATTTAGGATTACTCATTTATCTTTATTCTGCTCATTTTTACAAAAAGCAATTATATTTTTATTTTCATGTAAATTTCACAATTAAACACTGTTGAATTCAAACATTGGCAAGAAATCCTAATAATGCTACCATAATAATAATAATAGCTGTGACACTATCAAAAGCTGCAGAACAACATACGTGGGCTGAACTACTGGCTGTAATAATATCTCATTGGGCTTTTACATGTTTGCACTTACAGAAGCTTCCTTTCTCACTTGCACAAACACTCACATGCATGCTGGCTTCAGTCTCTCTGCACTCACCCTTATATAAGACACTAGCCTTTGAATTTGATTTGGTTTCTGCTTATTTCCCAGTTATTTTAGTCAGGACTGATTAATAAAGAAGATGAGCATCCTTGTAATTAAATGACAAGAAAATGAAGCTGGAAACTTTCAGTATATAATAATTACATAAAAGCTGGATTTTGGAAATCTAGGCTTTACTCCCTTTGTACTGAATTACAATTAACCTCCACCAAAGTTATCCAATTACATGCATCCTGTTATTCTACATCCTGCACATTGTTCAGTAAGGCTAATTCTTCATGACAAGGAGAACAGAGAGTCTGTGAACCTGTCCCTGACTCATCTTCCACAATATTCTCTCTAATCTAACTTTAATTGCTTGGCCTTAACTTTCAAGTCGACTTCTACAGATTCATTTCCTGAACTACTTGAGCACAGTTCTGCGCCACTGGCTTCACATGCCGCTCGTAGGGGTACCCGACGATGGTAATTTCTTGATGAGGCAATTCATCCCCTTCTACATGTCTCCACATCTTTCTTCTCCTCCTCCTGTCACTGACTCCTGGGAGGGCTGACGTATCCTTTCCGACATAATTGAGTGAACCGTGTGGTAGAACCTGTAGACTTGGCCAGGTTGCTCTCTAGAGTGGTGTGATGAGTGTCACTAGCAACAAAAACGGACAACCACCCCCAAAACAAAACACATGACACAAAAAAAATGAGAATGAGACAGTAGCAGGGTAAGGCGGAGGACAGCTGCGGAGGAGCTTATGGGTGAAATAATTGCAGTCGGCATGTGAGAACAGGAGCAGGGTCTGTACCTGGAGCCAGCTAATTGAGCCTGAATGAGTAAGTGTAGACACAGGTAGGAACTGCATTTGAGTTTTGTTCCCCGTTTTCCGCAAGAACGACTATGAACAAAAGGGCAGACGCCTCCCCAATCAAGCTAATGGAGTGGGAAAAAGCTGGTGGCTGAATTCGATGGGCAGTGACAGGTAGAAGGGCCTTTGGGGGATTTACAGAGTCAGGAGGAGAAGAGGCAGACCGAGGTGAGGTTTTCAGCTGCTGGTTGGCAGGATGAGGGGCCGATATAAAGCCTCGGCTTGTACTGCCAGATCCATTAGCAGATGGTTCAGGTCAAAGGAACCATCAGTGACAAGTACTGTGGTTCGTGTTATTCATTCAGTCCAGCCAAAAAATCATTTCACATCCGAGTATTAAAAAGCGAGAGTAGCTGCTCATTAAACAGCAAAAAACTCAAACAGATGCTTCAACGTCTGCTTGAAACCAGACTGCAACTGCGATTTACAGCTGAGATGACCCTTCAAAGGAGACAGCCACAGTGGTGAGTGCATGCAGGATTATTTTCCGAGGTTTAACTTCGAGGATTGTAGCTCTTAACTGTGTTCAGTCAAAATAGCAGGACTTTTTTTTAGTCCTGAACGATAACCAGGAATGTCAGAGATTTACAGATTTGCAGTTTAACAGTTTATTGGTGACAAGTCCAGAAAATAATAAATGTTTCTACAAATAACTTAATTTGTCTAACTCTGTAGTTTTTAATAGGGGTGGGGG